TGGACACTGCACCTTTTAAGAATGCGTTTACGCAAACACTGATAAACCGGTTTGCTGTGTACATAGATGGAATAACATTGATTTTTTTTTCCCTCAGTTTCTGGTTCTTCAAGTTTCTGGTGCTGGTTGGTATAACTGTGGGAGCGTTCTTCATTCCAGATGGAGACTTTAATACAGGTATGGTTTTAGCCACAGTGAGGACAGTTCTGATAAAATTAGAGCTTGAATCTTAATGCCCGTAGTTAAACTTTTTGAAATTCTGTGAAAATGGAAACTTAAAGTGGGGACTTATATTACCGGTATTCAGTTACATACCATTGTATTGTTTAGTGTATTAGTCCATAACTGATGTAGAGTATGACATTCAGTAGTATCTACATTTTTTTTTATTTTGATATGTCTAAAACTTGGTATGAACCCAATAGTCTTGGCATAAATTTCCCACAATGCTTTGCAGCATTGACAGATTCCTGGACAGCGACAGAGAAGAGAGCTGAGCTCTAACGTCAGTACCTCATAAAATTAAGTCTTTCAGTATAAAAGTTTTAGCTTTGTTGTGATAGATCTTTCAGAGTTGTTTATCAGTACAGGGCTTATCTCACATGAATTTGCATTACCATGGAAACGTGTCTTATCTGTTAGACCTGATCAGATTTTAATGACGATGCTCCTGATCCAGATTCACGTTGTTGTAAACAAATGTCTATAACACCACACAGAGAGCAAACTTGTGGAAACCTAACCGATCTCATTCTGTCTGCTACAAGTGTGGTATTACTTCGGCATGGTGGGCTCCTTCATCTTCATCATCATCCAGCTCATCCTACTGATTGACTTTGCCCATTCCTGGAACCAGTCCTGGCTCGAGAAGGCGGAGGAAGGAAACACCAAGTGCTGGTTTGCAGGTATAATACGACCAGATCTTCAAGTGATAGTTCTGTGGAGAAGCCGGAATTTCCCAGATAAGGGATAGTACGGGATATTATGTAAGATTAGGCTATGTATATACTACATGTACTACTTTTTTTTCCTTAATCATTATACAGATAATTTATCTGCATAAAAGCCACTGAACTAACTTTGAGGTTGTGCTGTAAAAGTCTAGGATTTTGATCAAGAAGCTGATACTTC